CATCAAAAACTTTTCGCTTTTAGACCATTTATTAAGAGTGATGTTTCATCTCTGCACCAAGAAGAAGCACAATTTTTGGGAAAATTTACTTTGAGATTTATATTCCAAAGCCTCCAAGTGCTATATTCCGACATTACCTGTCTGCCAGCGGTCCTGGCGACCCGCCTAGCATACAATTTAGCAACGAATCGCCAAGCCGTAAGTCCCGTGCACTACTATTCAGCCGATTCGCAAAGATCTAAAGTTTATGTTTGTGTTCCCAAAAATCTAAACCAACAATCTCCACCTTGCTTTCTGAATCCCAATCCTTCTTCGACATTTCAACAGAGTAAGTAAAGTGCAGCAAACAATGGTACATTTTGAGAAACCTGAACAGAACTAATTTAGCTTTGGACTAGAAAGGTGAAGTGCCTTGCCTCAAAAGAAGTTCCCAAAGCAGCTTTTCATTTTCTAATTTGAACCCAATGTTGACGAGATGGGTATGCGGGCAGCTGATCGAATCGGGAACGAAAGCCGGGACTCCAAACTTCTAAAAAAAATTGTGCTGATAGCATTTTATTAGCAACAATGCCTAGTTACCTTTTCCGCAGACAGAGTACTTTCACATCTCAGTGGATCAGCAATCTCTCCAGACAAACGAGCAGAGCTACGTTTACTTGTTGTCTACAAACCAGTCATCAAAACTATAGACACAAAAGAGCAGCTATAAATTTACATCACGGTCCAATTCGCTAAGTTTTGGGCGTGGCCCATAATCGGTAACGGCTATGGTAAGACCATCTTTTTGGGAATACAAGACGTCATAGATGGTTATGACATCAAGTTTTAAATGTGCTGTAAAATATATGCATTAGATGGCTGCATTAGGCCAAAGCTTGGAGTAAGTGAGCCGGCCGAAAGACCGAAAAAAAACGAGAAGAATGGTGAAGAAAGATAAAAGTGGGGGACTCACCTAGCTTGTCCGGCAAACGTATCTCAGTGACAGGTATTAGTCCACCTGCCAGGGCCAGCACAACTAGATCATCTCGAATCTGAA